CCTAACAGGCACCTGAACATCTCTGTTCAAACCACTGCAAACCATTTGTCTGTACCAGAACAGTTGAAGTCAAGTGTGACATATCTCGTAACTTGCAAAGTAAGTCAAAAGCATTATCTCTGTACAGTTTTATCACTGCTACAGAAGAATGCAGTACTTATCTTGTTCTGGTAGGGGAAATCAGTATTTTATAAGGCAAATCTAAACATGAGGGCAGTCCAAACAAAAAAATTATAACTTTTAAACTGGGCATCAGATCAGCAACAGACAGTCTGCTCTTGCTGGGTGCCAAATTTGGGGAAGTTTTTCAAGTTCAGATTTTTTAAAAGTAAAACTGTTTCACCACTACCACTCACTCAGAAATAGGCAACCCTAAAAATCCCCAAATTTAAAAAGATCGCATACATTGTAAAGCCCAACCAACCTGTGCCAGATGGCATTACATTCCCTCTGAAAACACAGCTGCGTACTTGGATATGCTTGTGAATTTGTCTGCGAGCCTGAATAATTTTTTTTATTTTTTTATTTATTTCATTTATACCCCGCCTATCTGGTCAAATGTGACCACCCAGGTTTCAGCGTTGGCCAGGCATGCCTTTGCACAATTAAAACGAGTGTGCCACTTCACAAGCTTTAAAAAATGGGGAAAATCCAGGTTTCAAGGGCTGAAAAACAGATCCTAAAAACAGCTCACTATTATTCACAGAGAGACACCAAGCAGGAGAAAATCCCAGAACCCAGCTTCATTGATCAATTAACCACTTCTCATGCAAGCACAAAACAACAGCCAGGGCTGTTTTTCAGCAAGTTCTTTAGGTATCAAAAAGAAATGGCAGTGAGCATAATAGGATATTCTCTAGACCAGTGGTTCCCAAACTTGGGTTCCCAGATCACTATTATTCACAGAGAGACACCAAGCAGGAGAAAATCCCAGAACCCAGCTTCATTGATCAATTAACCACTTCTCATGCAAGCACAAAACAACAGCCAGGGCTGTTTTTCAGCAAGTTCTTTAGGTATCAAAAAGAAATGGCAGTGAGCATAATAGGATATTCTCTAGACCAGTGGTTCCCAAACTTGGGTTCCCAGATATTATATTTCTGCTGGATTAATATGATGCACTTTACGTGGGGCTACCTTTGGAAAACGTTCAGAAACTCCAGCGGCTCCAAAATGCCATAGACTGATTGCTAATTGGAGCTGGTTACAGGAAATCTATCACTCCCCTGTTACAGCAGTTCCACTGGCTATTGATCCATTTCCGGGCACAATTCAAAGTACTGGTTTTAACCTATAACACAAAGTCGTAGTCCAAGAACATTTGGGGACCCAAGGTTGGGAACCACTGCTATAGACTATCTGGCCTGCTGCCATTGGTGTTGGTAACATTCAAGGATGCCCTTTTCTATGTAAAGCTTGGCAAACTTGGGTCCAAGCTGTCTAAAAGACTGTATCTCCCTATGAGCCTATATGTGTATTAATATTATCAGGGGAAGCCTTTCACTTGGTTCCACCACCCACACAGATGCACTTGGTGGGAACACGGAAGAGGGCTTTCTCTACTCCCAGACTCTGGAACTCCCTCCTGTGGGAAGCCAGGATGGCCTCTTCTTTGCTGTCCTTCCGTAAGTAAGGGAAGGTCCTTTCCTTCAGGCAGGCTTTTCTTTAGTGACTGGGAGCACAATATCCCATATTCAGAAACGAGAGGAATTTTGAAGAACTGAATTAGCCTGTTTCCCCAAAAATAAAACCTAACATGAAAATAAGCCCTCATATAATTTTTATGATTCTCGTAATATAAGCCGTACCCCAAAAATAATTAGAAGCATTTTTTAAAAATGAGACAGTTTGTACTTTGGTTGTTTTTAAGTAATGCTTTTACTTAATCTTTAAAATACAGTGATGCCTCGACTTATGAACGTCCCGACATACGACCATTTCGAGTTATGACCAATTCCAGCTGCAAAATTTTGCTTTGACTTGTGGCTGGAGCTTTGAGCTACAACCAAAATAAGGCGAGGGAAAAAGCAAAGCCTCCAAGCCAGAACAGAGACTTAAGCAAAAATACAAACCTATCTTCAGGTGAGGTAAGGGCAATGAGGGTGGTGGGAAGGGTAGGGAACAAAGGAATAAATGAGGGAACAGTGAAAGGAATAAAAAGAAAGAAAGGAAAAAACCAAGTTGAAGTGGCGGGAGAAAGAAAACTCTGACAAGCTAATGACCCACCATCTTGATCGAAGTCTTCCAGAATTTGCTTGCTTTCTGCTTTGCTTTTTTTGTATTTCCAATGGGTCTTGCACGGTTTGTTTGCTTTTCTTCCCCCCCCCCTTCGGCCAGAACGGATTAATTGCATTTCTGATGGGTCTTGCAGTTTTGTTGTTGTGGTGGGTTTTTTTTTGGTGATTTTTGTCTTCGGCCAGAAAGGATTAATTGCATTTCAATGCATTCCTATGGGAAACGGTGCTTCGACGTACGACCATTTCAAGTTACAACCATCTTCTGGAACGGATTAAGTTTCTAAATCGAGGCACCGCTGTATGATATTTATTAAATCGCTTTAAAATATTTGTATAACTTAATGTTTTTAGCTTTTAATATTGTTTTAATGAACATTTACCTGTCTGTTGAAACAGTAGGTCCAGTCAAACATAACAGAGAAAGGTGGTCCTAAAACAGAATACATCACATATCAGGCTAGAATGCTTATTGTGGAAATCTATTCTATTCTAGAATTTGCTCAAACAAGCTGATTCTTAGCATACTGCTGACTCAAATGGTTCATATATTGTAATCAGCATATTATACTAAAGTGCTTGGCTTGAAAATCCAGAGCATTTAATTTCTAGTTGCAAACTCAGCCTGTGCCAATCATTTAAAGCTAAAATGCTGTACTTCGTAAATGTGGAAGATTATGTTTTGCTCAAATTTCCTTTCTGCACACCATAGGAGCTTTGCAATATTACTTACCTTAAATGGTAGATAATAAATATCTCGAGCCTGAAATCTAGACCGAAGTGGTGGATCTAGTGGATTACCAAAATATCGGGGGACAGGAAGGCCCAGTGCAATTACTCTGAAGTTTTCACTGACTCTGACAATCTTCCATGCATCCAACTCTGCTTTATCATGTTCCTAAAGAAAAGTAAAACTTTAACTACAATTCAGCAACCACTTCAGAAAAAAAAACATATACAGAAAAACTGAGACCATATATATTGCCAAATGAAGAACTACTTGTACAAGACAGCTCTGGTTTAAAACATAAATTTATATACTGTATACCTCCCACTGCTGTCCATTTCAATACAAATGACAGTACAGTGGATGCTTGACTTACAGATGGCTTGACTTACAGACTTTTTGAGTTACAGACTTCTCTGGCTGCAAAATTTAGGTTTGACTTGCAGCCTGAGAATTGACTTACAGACCAGAAAAAAACCAAAATGGAACAAAAACGGCCTGTTACGGGATTAATCGGTTTTCAATGCACTGTAGGTCAATGGAGACTTGACCTACAGACTTTTTGACTTGAGACCCACCTTCCAATATGGATTAAGTTCTCAAGTCAAGACCCCACTGTATTACCAAAAAGTTGAAATGATTTTAGAATCAACCTATATGGTACATATTAGACAACACAGTATATTTACATTTTGTTTTTTCATAGTGAACCCCCCAAAATATTCAAGAGGAATGCTCCCTTTAAAAAAAGAAAAGCAACGGAAAATCAGAAACCACACAGAATCCTCACTGTGTGTACACAGAGCATATGCAGCTAAGTTTGTGGATTTATAAGCTCCTCCATGAATAAACACAGTAAAATATTATTGGTTCAATACAGTAATAAAATTTGAAGCTATTCTAATGTGTGCAAGGCATCAGAGCACTGATAGTATGAGACATTTTATGAATCTCTTAAACAAAAACCTTTTAGAAAACATACAGTGGTGCCCCGCTTGATGACAATAATCCGTTCCAGCAAAATCGCTGTAGAGCAAAATTGTCGTCAAGCGAAAGGAAAAAAACCATTGAAATGCATTGAAAACCGGTCAATGCGTTCCAATGGGGGAAATACCTGCTCGTGCAGCAAAAATCCTCCATATGGCAACCATTTTGCGGTCCCTGTCTTGTGAAGAATCCGTCCTGAACACAGCGCAGAACCATTTTGCGACCCGCCAATCAGCTGTTTTGAATCGTCATTAAGTGAAAAATCGGTTCCCGAAGCAGGGAACCGATCGTCGTAAAGTGAAAAAACCCTTTGAATCATTGTTTTGCGATCGCTATAGCGATCGCAAAAAACTCATCGTACAGTGGATTTGTCATCAAGTAGGGTAACTGTCTAGCGGGATACTACTGTATTCTAGCAACATATCAATTAAACAGAATAAATGAATTATCCTGTTTCCCTGAAAATAAGACCTAACCTGAAAATAAGCCCTAGTATGATTTTTCAGGATGCTCATAATATAAGCCCTACCCCAAAACTGAGCCCCAGTTAAGTGAAACCCTATCCTCCACCAGCGTGCAGCAGCCAGAAGAAGATGACATAACAGTATTTGAATAAATGCAGATTGTTGTAAATGAAAAAAAAAATCCCCTGAAAATAAGCCCTACTGTGTTTTTTGGAGCAAAAATTAATATAAGACCCTGTCTTATTTTCGGAGAAACACGGTACTAGGTCCTAAAGAATGGGTGGCGAATGTTTCAGTTATATACTGTACTTGCTGATGGCAAAAGATATAAACTCAAACATAAATACTAGTTCTATTACATATTTCAAGCTACACTATTCAAAAGGAGCACTTATGGAATCACTGTTTGAATACAAGCAGCACACCTACAAGTGTAGAATCTTTCACATTTCAGTGCAAATTCTGAATGAGGGAAGTGACATTTATCTCCAGTAAACTCCCGACAGTCTTCATAGAATCAGAGAATAATGAATTTGGAAGGGGCCTGTAAGGCCATCGAGTCCAACCCTCTGTTCAATGCAGGAATACAAATCAAAGGATATCTGCCAGGTAGCTGCCTAAATTTATTTTCAATGTATCCAGTGTTGGAGCACTCTCCACCTCTCGAGGTAATTGGTTCCACTGCTGTACTGCCCTAACAGTTGCAAACTTTCCCTGGACAGTCAATGGAAATCTGGCTTCCTGTAACTTCAGCCCATTGTTGTGTGTCCTGTACTGTGGGACGATTGAGAACAGATCCTGCCCGTCTTCTCTATAACATTGTTCAGGTTTTTGAAAAGTGCTTTCATATCTCCCTTTAGTCTTTTCTCAGGGCTAAACATACCAAATTCTTTCAGTCTTTCCTCATAAGGCTTGGTTTCCAGGCCCTGATCATCCTTGTTGCCCACCTCTGAACTTGTTCCAATTTGTCAACATCCTTTTTGAAATGCGCTGCACAAAACTGGACACAATACTCAAAATAAGGCCCAACCAGTGCTGAATAGAGGAGAATTATCACCTCATGGGATTTGGAATCTATACTTCTGTTAATACAGCCTAAAATAGCATTTGCCTTTTCTGTAGCCATATCACACTGTTGGCTCATATACAGCTTGTAGTCTACAACTCTAAGAGCTTTCTCGCTTGTAGTATTGCTGAGCCAGGTATCCCCCATCTTTTAATTTATTTATTTATTTATTTATTTATTGGACTTATATACCGCCCCATAGTGCTACAAGCACTCTCCGGGCGGTTTTTACAATTTAATTATACAGGCTACACATTGGTGTGTGTGATGTGTGAGAGGAGATCAGATCAGTTTGATGCAGTACTTTGCATTTATCACTGTTGAATTTCATTCTGTTGTTTTCAGCGCAGTGCTCAATGTAAGATAATTCTGAATTTTGTTTTTGTCTTCCAGAGTATTAGGTATTCCACCCAAATTTGTGTCATCTGCAAATCTGATTAACATTCCCTGCACCCTTGATTCAGGTCATTAACAAGAATGTTAAACAGCACTGGGCCCAGGGGTAACCCACTTGTTACCTCCTCCCAGTTTGAAAAGAAAATTAATCATAACCCTCTGAGTACAATTCTGTAGCCAATTGTGTATCCACCTGACAGTTGTTCCACTATCCCACTTGCTAATTAAAATATCATGGGGCACTATATCAAAAGCTTTGCTCAGGTCAAAATATACTATGCCTATAGCATTCCCTCTGTCTATCAGGGAGGTTACCTGATCAAAAAATGAGATCAGGTTAGTCTGGCAGGATTTGTTCTTGACAAATCCATGTTTGTTGTTGTTTAGTCATTAAGTTGTGTCCGACTCTTTGTGACCCCATGGACCAGAGCACGCCAGGCACTCCTGTCTTCCACTGCCTCCCAGAGTCGGGTCAAATTCATGTTGGTAGCTTCAGTGACACTGTCCAACCATCTCATCCTCTGTCGTCCCCTTCTCCTCTTGCCTTCACACTTTCCCAACATCAGGGTCTTTTCCAGGGAATCTTC